GGGGGGGGGGGGCTTTGGGAAGAGGGGGGGGGGTCTGCGCCCGCGCGCCTCCCACAGCTCGAGCTCAGCGGCGAGCGGGCAGCCGCGCTCGCCGAGCACTCCTCGGCAGAAGGAGGCCGTCCTGCGCTGCAGCTCGGCGCTGTAGTGGCGCTGCAGCGGGAAGCCGGCGATGCCGGTGAAGGAGCCGACGGCGTCCTGCTGCGGCTGAATCGGAAAGTACTCCTTGTGCAGGTTGCCGATCATGTAGCCGTTGACGTTGATCTCCACCATGGTCGCGTTGCCCCGCTCGTCGATGACGACGTCCGGCGAGAGGAAGAGGATCCGCTTGTACCTGACGCCGTCATGAACGAGCCTGTACCTTAAGGCAAGGTTCACGACTCATCCGCTGCTGCTGGTGTAATGTCCGCTTGTGCCTGACGCCGTGCCGCTTGAGCTTGTGGTCGGCGTGGATGATCTGCTCGCGCGCGAGAAGCAGCACCTGCGCGGGGCGAGGCACGGGCAGGGCTAAGCTGGACCTTCTCCTCATGCCGCTGTGCGGGGCTGTGAGGCTCTCCCCTGCATCTCCCCTGCATCTCCCCTGCATCTCCCCTGCATCCGTGAGCCCCGCGTTCAGAGTGCGCGCGCGAGAGAAGCGGCAAGGGACAATCGCCTTCTAGGCGTGATCTCGGTCGATCTCGGTCGATCTCGGTCGATCTCGGGTCTCTCGGCCGGCGGCGCCTCGACGATCGCCTTCTCGACGCTCGGCCACGCGACGCGCGTCCAAAACTCCCTGCCCTGCGGCCGCACGTTGCTGAACCAGTACTCGTCCGTCGTCGACGTGGGGTAGACGAGCTTGGCGCCGTTCGCTCGCTCCCGGGGAGGGATGATCTCGCGCAGCCTGCAGCGAGGGAGGGGGCGCGCTCTCTCCCCCCCCCCCCCCCCGTCCCCCGAGGCGGCGAGGGCAGCACACACGTGCCGAGCTCCACATCTGCGTCTGGCGGCCGCCTCTGCGAGCGTGGCTAGCCCGAGCTTATGGCGGAGCGGTGGCGGCGGTCGAATGCGTGTCTTGTTCCCGGGTGGCTGTTGCGCCTCTGCTGTAGACTAGGTGCTGTGAGGCTAGGTGCTGTGAGGCTAGGTGCTGTGAGGCTAGGTGCTGTGAGGCTAGGTGCGGTGAGGCTAGGAGGCGCCGCCGCCTGTCCGGGTCGTCTTGCTCGTAGCAGGGGAGCATGGTGAGGTGCGTGCTGCAGCCGGCCTTGGCGTGGCGCGGCTCGTTCGAGAAGGTCCACATGTTGACCTTCGGGATGCCTAGGAAGTGTCTAGGAAGTGTCTAGGAAGTGTCGAGGAAGCGCCACATGTTGACCTTCGGGATGCCTACGCGGGAGAGGGCTCGGACGGCTCGGGGAAGGCTCTAGCACGCGGTGCCAGCACGAGGACCGTGTGGCTGGCCCGTCCCCAGCGCGTGGACGCGCAGCCTGCAGGAAGACATCGGTGCTGAAGCATGCTTGTGACTCATCCACTAGCACGTGGATGCGCACACTGAGCACACGGCGCCTCGGGAGAGGGTGGGCTGTGCTCAAACAGAGGCCGGCCCCCTGGTGATGCGACCGGTGAGAGAGGGAGGACGGGGACACACGGACACGCGGCTCCCCGCCTTGGGCATCTAGGCGTGCGCAGCGGGTCGAGCGAGAGGACGACCGCCCAGACTCGCAGGTCGAACTTGTGCCTAGACACTTCCTAGACACTTCCTAGACACTTCCTAGACACCGCCCAGACTCGCAGGTCGAACTTGTGCCCGGCGAAGGTCATCGGGTTCATCTCGAAGTCCTGCATGACATACTCGCCCGCCGGCACGCGCCTCGTCAGCCAGGCGAGCGTCGTGTCCTCCGAGCTGAGCTCCTATTCAAGTCCGCCACGCAAGCGTCTCATTTCGAGAAGAGCGGGTCGCTGGAGAAGCCCCGAGCCGGGAGCTCCTCGATCGGGAGGGAGTGCATGTCTACTGCTACTGCTACTGCTATGCTGCTGCTGCTGCTGCTCCTACTGCTACTGCTACTGCTACTGCTGGCTCCTCGGTCGGGAGGGAGTGCATGTGGATGCCGACCGAGTTGAAGCCGCCGCGCGGCTTGCAGATCCAGAGGCGGTGCCTCAGCGCGCCGCCGCCGGAGGGGCGGTAGTGCCGCATCGTGTTGAGGTTGTACGAGCGGAAGTCGGCTGCCACGCTCTCGAGCTGCCCCTTGCCGACCTAGACGCTCCCTAGACACTTCCTAGACACTTCCTAGACACTTCCTCGGGCTGCCCCTTGCCGACCGTGAAAGAGCGCTTCGTGAAGCCACAGTGCTCGGCGTCGGCGTTGGCCGGCGGCGAGAGCCGCGAGTAGCCCGTCTTGCGGTAGCACACCTCCTGCAGCCTGCCGAGCGCGGGCTTGACTCCGATGAGCTGCACCAGCCCGGGCACCTGAGCAACAATCATGACTTCAATCACCTCATAACGACCAGGTCGTGACTCCGAGTACCCTCCGAGTACCCGGGCACCTAGGACTGATGACAGTTGATGAACACGTGTGCTTGTGACTCCGACGAGCTGCGCCAGCCCGGGCGCCGAGTTGACGATGGCGCCTACGGGAGGAGGGCTCCGAGAAGGCTCCTGGAAGGCTCCGAGGGACGGCGCGCAGCACCCACAGCTGGCGATCCGCGCCCTCGGGGAAGTCGCCGCTGCCGCCCTCTGGGAAGCCGGCACGGGAGGCCGGCCGGCGAGGCGGCCAGAACTTGGTCTCGAGCTCCATAGTCTCAGTCCACCAGACGTGCACCGCCGTGCTGCGCGTCTCTGGCTCGCACAGTCGCAGCCTCGTGAAGAGCGGCCGCATCACGCCTGTAGAGAGGTGCTCTGGAAGGTTCCTGGAAGGTGCCTGGGAGGCTCCGGGGAGAGCGGCCGCACAGCACGCCTCGCATGTCACCCCGCTTGCCCACCGCGAAGGAGCGGTTGCACCGCCACCGGTCCTTGGGCACCTTCGGCGCCTGCCGGTGAGGCGGTGGCGAAGTGAGGGATTGTCGGAGGGAGGTGCGGCAGCGTGGATAAGGCAGCGTGGATAAGGCAGCGGGGGAAGACACGGCGCAACACGGGCTCTCCTGCTGCTGCGCGTCCGGCCAGGGCGTTTTCCCCGCACGCCCGCGGTCGCTCAAGTGCCGCTCGATGGCGGCGGGCAGGGCGGATGTCCCGTCGGCGAATGCGTAATAGTCGTCCATCGTCGGCCGCGTGTAGCCGGGCTCTCGGACGAGGTTGGTCCGGCCGAGATGCACGCCGGCCGAGCTGATCGAAAAGTCCGTCATCGCGGGGTCTCCCTTAGTCACGCCGACGAAGCTCTGCGCCACGCACGTGTGGTACCGAAACTCCGCCATCTCGGCCGGGCAGGCATTCGGGTCGCGCCCATCGCTCACCCAAGCAAGCTTGCAGCAGGCGCCTCCCTCGCCGCAGAACTGCGGGCACGCGCCGCCCCTGCGGCCGCACGCAGCCCAGCAGCTCGGAGGCCGAGCCTCCCTCCGAGACCTCCTCTTCTTGATTACATTGTCGCGCTTCTCCTCGAGCTCGTGGAGCTGTTTCTTGAGCCGCGAGAGCTCGGTCGCGGCGGCGGCGCCGGCGGGGACGACGGCGGCCGGGCGCGCGCCCTGGGCGATGGCTGCGACGGCACGAGCGCGTGAGTCCATGTGTGTACACCACACACACGTTCTGTCTGATCAAGCGGGCAAGCGCTTGCCGTCCAAGTGCAAAAACGAGAATTATCTTCGCGCACGAGTAGATTTTAGAAGTGAACTCTCGCAAAAAGGAGAAAAGGGCGTGCCCCTCGGACACCTAGCTCCGAGTAGAGGGGGCGTTCTGCAGTTCAGGGGAAACCCGGTATACGCTGCGGAAAACCATCAACCCTCGGAGACCCGTGCGTGTTAGAGAGAGAGAGAGATTTTTAGCAATACCAAACAACTCTAACACTCACACGTAATTTGGGGCCTGGAGCCCTGTTCACGCGCGCGCGAGACGTGCAGACAGGGTTGCCAGGTGAGAGCGAATGGCGCGGTTCACGCCTCGCACAACAGAGAGAGAGATGCGCTCTGCATGGTGGGACATAAAAGAGAGCGAGTACTTGGGCGAGTAGGCCGTGCGGTCAACGCTGCCGCGCGCGACTTTGCGCGCGAGGCGGCGCAGCTTGAGAACGGCGGTGGGCGAGAAGCCGCCGCCGAACGTCTCGTGGAGCAGCAGGTTGAAGTTGTTGCGCTTGACAAAGATCGCGTCGTGGTAGAAACCGCGATGCGCGCCTTGACGTACAGTTCCGGACGGGCATTAAGAACCTCTAACGTTAAGAACCTGAGGCTCATATTTCGGCCGGATCCCTAAGAACTCCCTAAGAACCTGAGGCTGGGCCAACGCCTGCAGCCGGCGCCCCTGCCCCCGCGGCCGCAGCCGCAGGGGCAGCTCACGGCAGCGAATGACTCTCTTGTCACGCCATGCGCGAACTTACTGTTCCAAACTTCCAAACTGTTTTAAGACCCATTTATTGATTTTTAATCGAAGCCGAAACGGTTTAAAAAACCATCCACCCGGTTAAGAACCTGAGGCTCGGCCCCCGACGGACCGCCGACTTAGCTAAGAACCTGAGGCTGGGCGAAGAACCTGTGCGTTCTTAATGCCCGTCCGGAACTGTAGCCGAGGCCGGTCTTGTGGGAGAAGGGTTGGCTGGGCTGCCCGCGCGCCTTGCAGCCCATGTTCAGGCGGCGGGCCTTCTCCTCGGTGTTGCCGAAGGCGTAGGAGTGGCCGACGGAGGCGGGCGTGCCGCCACTCGAGGCGTTGCCAACGCCCGTCGAGGAGGTCTTGAGGAGGGGCGTCCAGAGCTTGACTTCATTCACCTCATCGCATCCTCCCGGTCCCGCGTGGGGTTCTGCGAGGTCAGTCTTGTACCCCTCATTGTACTGCCGGGTGAGCTCTGGTTTCTCCTTGTCGCCGTGCACGACCGGCGCGTTGGCCGGGGCGCGCATCGCGTCCGCCCAGGCGGCGAGGACGCCGTCGTGGGGCCGCCGGTGGTGGGCCTTGTTGTAAAGGTAGTCGCCGAAGAAATCGACTGGCATGCCCCGCTCGAGCGCGACCCGAAGGGTGGGAAGCGCCGCGGAGAGCCAAAGGCCGAGCTTCCGCTGGAGCTCGTCCTGGAGGGTGTCGGAGGAGAGGGCGGTGGCGTACGTGCCGTCGACACGGACATCGAAGGCCTTGCCGGCGAAAGGCGTTGAGGCGGAGACGAGGCGCGCGGCTTCGCGGTTGTTGACGGCGCTGTCTCCGAGGGACGGGTAGTTCTTGACGTGTACATCCCGCGCCTTGACGAGCTCCTGGTGCGCGAACCAGTCCTTGTGATTCTTGATGGCAGCGAGCGCCCGCGGCCGCGGGTTGTTTGTTGTTTGAGATTTTTGAAAACCAACGACAAGTTTTCGCAACGCCGCGGACACAGAAGGATGGTTGGTACCAGGTAGCGGCAGCCTTCCCAAAGAGCTCTGCAGAGGGGCGACCGACCTCACCACACTGATGGACGCCGCCATCGACGGCCACAAGCAGTTGATCGAGCTGCTGCTGCGGCGCGGCGCGGAGATCGACAAGCAGAACGGCAAAGGGGGCACCGCGCTGATGGGCGCCGCCCAGGAGGGCCACGAGCGGGCGGTCGAGCTGCTGCTGCAGCGTGGCGCGGAGGTCAACAAGCAGAACAGCGACGGCTGCACCGCGCTGATGTTTGCCGCTGGCGTGGAGGTGAAGAGGGTAGGAAGGTGAAGAACAGCCAGGCTCGGACTGGACACCAACGCGGTATGGGTGGACGCTAGACAGATGATGACGACACGCACGAGCAACACACAGACACAAACAGGCTCACAAGACACACAGCCAGCTGGCTGCCACACACCACTAAGAAAAAAGAAAAAGTCGCCAAGTTCCCGGCGAGCTCGACAAACAGGGGGGGCACAGTCCGAAGCAGCCAAGCTCAGTAGGAATGCTAGGTTCGCTCTTCCCCGACGCAGAACACGTCTTCGTCAAGGACGACCTCGCCTCCTTTCCGGTGCCCACCAACACGTCTCCGTCAGTCGTACCGTGCAATCACAAGCCCACGACTGCACGATTTAGGCGCGCGTGCCCTCCGTGCGCGAGCTACACCTATCCGGAAAGCGGGTGGTCGTGCTGTCTCTGCCAGGCGGCTGCACATGGACAAAGAACGCGCTGGCGTGTGCAGTCTAGTCTAAGGGCCGAACGGCGCTCCGAACATCAGGCGCCTTCACCTCTGTCTGAAGCGCGCAGCTCGCCGGCTACCGTTCAGCCGACGCGGACGGCTCCCTGTCGGCGGCAGCTGTCGACGCGGTGCTGGTGATCTGCGTAAACGACGGCTATGTGCTGGACGCGTGGAAGCGCGCGAGCGGGCTGGCGGGCGCCCGAGCATTTACCTTTGTTGCTGACCCCTTCGGGTGATCGTAGCTAGACAATTAGCCTTTTACAGACGAGAAGATTGCCTTAGCACACAAGAGGATTGCCTCACCGACCCTTGCCAGGACGTTGACGGCTGCACTCGGCCTGAGCTTGGAGGAGCCGGACCCAGAGCTCGGTCCGAATCGAGGCAAGCGGGCGGCGCTGTTCGTTGCCGATGGCGTGGTCAGGCTGCGGGAGGTGTCAGAGGCGGAGGGCGACCCGACCGGCGACGAGGACCATGCCAACTCGGATGCACCGCAGATGCTGGAGTCGATCCGGACGCTCGGCACGACGTGAGCGGGATGATGCTTTTTCTTGGCGCCAGGCCGCGGCCGTTATGAGGCGCGCGAGGGCAAACGAGCGGCCAATGTGGCCATCCTCGACGCGCGGAGGGAGGCCGTGGCCGTAGGGTGTGTACGAATAGTACGTAATTTCTCAGGTTGCTCTGACACTGAGGTGTTCGACTCTTCGAGTTTTGCTTAGAGTACCGTCGATACGTATACGGCTCTGCGAGAGTGTGTGGGCAGTACGGCTCTACTTGGGGTACCTCGACCGTGGGCGCCTTGCACGGCTCTTTTAATGCCGTGGGCTCCACTGTCGTCTAAATCGCAATCTGTTATAATTATGGTGAAATCCCAAAGTAACGCAAAAGGAAAAACCATCGATTCAACAGCAGTACCCACAACGGGGGGCGACATGCGCGCGGCGCGCAGTGAACACAGTCTCCGCACTGGCGCTCCAAGGCGCAGCAAAAGAGACAGTGCAACGAGACTCAGTCAACAGTAGATAGTACAACAAGAGAGACTGTGAGACGAACACAGTCCGCACACACACACCACCAGCAGCCCGCGGACCGAGGGCGGTGCTGGTGCTGGTGATAATGTGTGGGATGGGGCGCGATCTCGAGCCTGATCACGCCGCCTTGCGCGCCCCCTCCCAGTCCCGGATCATCCGGCGCAGCATGTGGGAGGGGACCAGGATGCTGTGCTCGAGCTCGCCGCCCGTCAGCGGGCTCGTCGACTTGGTCGCGAGCCAGCGCTCGATCGCCGTCCGCTCGTAAGCATGCCCGTCCGCCGCCATCACCGGGTCGCTCATCACCTCGGTCGTGATTGGGCAGACGAAGTCGTCCGGCGGCTCCTCCTCCTCCACCGAAGGCGGCCTCTCTGCAGCCAAAGAGGACGACGCTTGCTCGTCGGGCGCCCGCCTCTTCTCCTCCAGCCTCGCGCTCTCCTCGAACGCCGCCGCCAGCTCCGCCTCCTCTCCCGCCGCCAGCGCTGCCTCATCCTCATCCTCGGGCTCCCGCGACGGCCCAGCGCCTCCACCTCCGCCCTTCCCCTTCTTCTTCTTCTTCTTCTTCTTACCCTTCTTGCTCTCCTTGTCGCGCCCCCCCGCCTCCTTCTCCGCCTCCTCCTCCGCCAGCAGCGCCTCGGCATGCCGCGCTGCCTCCGCCTCCGCCTCCGCCGCCGCATGCTCCTCGAGGGCGCGCACGCACTCGGCGTGGCCCTTTCCCTTGGCCATCTGAAGCGCCGTCCTGCCGCTCTCGGAGCGCAGTGCCGTGTCTGCGCCCGCCCGCAGCAGGCGGAGGACGACAGCGGGGTGGCCTTGGCTGGCGGCGACCATCAGCGCGGTGTCGCCTTTGCTGTCCTGCTTGTTGATCTCCGCGCCGCGCTGCAGCAGCAGCTCGACCACCGGCTCGTGGCCTTGGCAGGCGGAGAGTATCAGCGCGGTGAGGCCGATGCTGTTCTGCAGGTTGATATCCGCGCCGCGCTGCAGCAACAGCTCGACCACCCGCTCGTGGCCTTGCATGGCGGCATCGTCTTGGATGGCGGCGCCCATCAGCGCGGTGCTGCCTTTGCTGTTCTGCTTGTCGACCTCCGCGCCGCGCTGCAGCAGCAGCTCGACCACTCGCTCGTGGCCAAACTGGGCGGCGCACATCAGCACTGTGATGCCGCTCACATCGCCCATCCCGCAAGTCGCGTTGACCTGCCCGCCGCTGTCGAGCCATGCCAGCAACGCCGCCTCGTCGCCGTCAATAGCTGCTGTCACGGCGTCTTTGTTCGTCTGCGTCTTGTCCATGACGCCTCGGGTCACCGAAGAAGCCTCGCGCCGGCCTGCAGCCACCTCCGCGACGTGCTGCCGGAAGGCCTCGACGCACGCGGAAAGGCCCTTCTGTCTGGCCCACTGCAGTGCGGACCTGCCGCTTTCAGAGCGCAACTTTGGATCCGCGCCCGCCCGCAGCAGGCGGAGGACGACGGCGGGGCGGTCGTTGCAAGCGGCGTCCATCAGCGCGGTGCCGCCTCGGCTGCCCTGCTTGTTGATCTCCGCGCCGCGCTGCAGCAGCAGCTCGACCACCCGCTCATGGCCTTGGCTGGCGGCTTTCATCAGCGCAGTGCCGCCTTTGCTGTTCTGCATGTTGATCTCCGCGCCGCGCTGCAGCAACAGCTCGACCACCCGCTCGTGGCCGTGAGCGGCGGCTAGCATCAGCGCGGTGTCGCCGTTGCCGTTCTGCTTGTCGATCTCCGCGCCGCGCTGCAGCAGCAGCTCGACCGCCCGCTCGTGGCCGAAAAAGCTGGCGGACAGCATCAGCGCGGTGCTGCCTTCGCTGTTCTGCTTGTTGACCTCCGCGCCGCGCTGCAGCAGCAGCTCAACCACCCGCTCGTGACCCTCCTGAGCGGCGAGCATCAGCGCGGTCATGCCGCTCGCACCGCGACGAGACGCGCGATACACATCTCCTTCCCCGCAAGTCGCGTTGACCCGCCCGCCGCTGTCGAGCCACGCCAGCAGCGGCGTCTCGTCGCCTCGCGCAGCCGCTATCCCCGCCTCGTTGGGAAGGCGGGCCAATAGGCCGGAAGAGGCCGCCTCGCCTGAGGAGGCGCCGCCCCCGACTCCCTCCACCATCCCTCCAGGGTACGCGGCCCGGGTTCCGGCTGTTTGGGGGGTAGGTGGGTCAATGAAAGAAATGAGGACCTTGGCACTCCAAGTGCTCCAGCCCCCCCCCCCCCACCCACGAAATGTATGTTCCACACCACCCGCGCAGTGGCTATTCAGACAACGGCCAGCCCGCAGGGGCGCTGCTCTCGCAACCGGCGGCTGGCGTCCACCGCTGCGGCGTGTGCGCGACCGACCCCCCCTTTGGCAGCAGCAGCCCCATCAGGTGCACCCACGCGTACCACGTGTCGCACGGCCCGCGGGCCCACGGCGCGAGCGGGCCGCCGGACCGCTCCAGAGGCGGCGCGTACGCCAGGTAACGCGTTGCCCCCCCGCACTCCGGCCTTGGTGCGAGCATGGCCATCGCCTATCACACCGTGGGCGTTGCGGCGGCGAAGCGTAAGCTCGCAGTGTCCGCGCGGCCGGACGGCTCTCACAGTTGATGCCGACCCCCCCAAGGCAGCGCACGGACCGTTTCACGGGTTGGCGCGTGGGTGGAGCGCGAGTCCCATACGCGGGCCGTCCTGGACTGGGACAGCTGGGCGGGGACAGAACATGCATGGTCCCCTCTGCGGCTCCTGCTGGGCAGCGAGCTGCGCCTGCGGATACGTCTTCGAGACCGCCGGCGACGCGTACTCCCGCCCGGTGGCCCGCCTCGGGCCGCCTCCGCTGCCTCCGCTGCGCCGGCGCCGGCGCGTAAACGCGCGGGTACACTTGCCTTGCGCTGCATGCACCTGTGAGTGTCCTTAAGCCGTGTACCCGCGCTCTGCACGTGATGTGAACGGTGGACTGTGTCTCTGTATGTCTGTAGGTGGGCAGCGCCCGGGGCTTTGTCCAGCACCACTCGCAACAGCTCTCGCGCGCCGCCGTCTGTGGCGACGCGCAAAACATCAACAACGCTGCTCGCAACATGCGTGTCGCGCACTCATTCATGACCGGTCTCAATGCCCCACCCCCCTGCGCTCGGGCCTTCTAGGCCCGCGGGTAGTCTCCCCCCATTCCCAAGGCCTCCAGGGCTCGCACCTCAACCTCTCACAGACCAGCGCACAGCGCCATAGGACGTATTTTCTTCTCAATAACAAGGCTGTGAAGAGGGGTGGAATTTATCGTTCTCGAGGAGGGGTCACAGCTGTGTGAGGAGGGGCCAGGGGCCAGTCGGAGCGCGGGCAGGCCACGGATGGGAGGCACTGGGCGCGGGAGTGCGGAGGCCCCACAGCCCCACACAGCTCTCTGCGGACACTTCTCGCGACGGGCCGCGCAACTAGATCGGGCGCCGAGGAGCCTTCCGGCTATACCTCTGCGACACTCTAGCCACGCGTCAGCCTCCGCTTAGCACACGTGGGCCCGCCGAGCCCGAATGGGAGCAGCCGTGGGGCGAGTGCCCTTGCGCCGTTGACACCACGACCCCCCTCCTCAGGTGCTCGAGCACTGGCTCGGCATGCATGGCGGGCTGAGGGAGGGTGTAGAGGATGTAGAGTGAAGAGCGCTGTAGAGCTCTACATCCGCCGCGTGACGAGGCGCCTCCGTTGTAGAGCGATGTAGAGCGCGATTTTGCTGTAGAGTTTGTTGTAGAGGCTCTACAGCCAAGGGGCACTTTTGAATAGGATTCTGACCAGGTCTGGCTGATTCTGGCCTGTTCCGCATGGTTTCCGCAAGAGAGGGCAAGGGACCGGGCGCTGGCATACCAGGGGGGGCAGGGTGGTGGGCGGCGACCGCCGCATACCGTCCTACAGCGGGGACTATCGGATTCTGGGGCCTCGGGGCCGAAGAGGAGAAACCCGTCCCCCGCTTCTCCTGGCGCTTGCTGCCCCTCGCCGGCGACCAGCATGCGAGCGCTTGCTATCGCAACTTCCGTGACGCTCGCCGCTGCAATGGAGTGCCTGAAGAGCGAGGAGCCGATGCAGCTCACGTTTAAGATGCCGTTTGTCAACCGCAGTGACCTGCAACCGCGCGTGCCACCGAGCCGGTGCACGGTGCTCCACAATGGTGTTGTGTGGTCCGGCGAGGCGGACGAGGCGCATACGTCGAGACGGGCCTTCCGCGGCGCGTTGGTACTCCGAGGCAACCGCATCGCCGCCGTTATCGAGGCGGGTGAGGCGCTGCCGACCGAGATCGACGGGACTGCGTGTGCTGCTGTCGATCTGCACGGGCGGGCGGTCATCCCCGGAATGGTCGAGGGTCATGCGCACACGGGTTTCGAGGATATCGCAGCGATGACCGATCCGGGCGACACGCCTCCGGAGGAGGGTGTACTCATCGGCCTGTTGAATGCAGGCCGGTTGCTCGAAGCTGGCTTCACATCGGCCTTCTCAGCAGCGGGCGTGCGGCCGCGGCAGGACCCCGTCACGCGCAACTGGATCAACGCGGGCCGGGCGCCAGGGCCGCGGCTGCTGGCGGCGTCGCCCGAGATCACCGCGACGGGCAACCTCGGCGACGGCTCGGTGATGCACCAGCATCGCGACTCTTTTGGACTCGTGGCCGACGGCGCCGACGAGGTGAGGGCGGCGGTGCGTCGCTGCCTGCGGGAGGGCGCCGACACGATCAAGATCAACATCGGCGGCGACCTCGTGCCGATCTCGAAGCTCAGCGAGGAGCGTGACGACATGCTTCCTGCGTACAGCGAAGCCGAGGTACGCGCGGCGGTCGAGGAGGCGCACATGCGACAGAAGCGCGTCGCGGCGCACTGCCGCGGCTCAGCAGACGTGCGGATGGCTCTCGCCGTGGGTGTGGACGTGATCTATCATCTGGATTTTGTCCACAAGGACTCGGCGCTGCTCGATGCCCTCGCGGCCGCGCGCGACCACATCTTTGTCGGCCCCGCCGTCGGCCTCATGGCTGCCCTCGCGCCGAGTCTGCCCGACGTCCAGCTGCTCCTCGACGCGCAGGCCAAGACCTTCTCGGCTCTGCGGACTCGCGGCTTGCGCGTCGTCCTCGGCGGCGATTACGGCTTCCGCGTGACCCCGCAGGGCACCAACGCCAACGACCTCCTCCTCTTCCAGCGGCACTTTGGCTACTCGCCCGAAGAGGCGCTCGTCGCCGCCACGCGACACGGCGGCGCGCTCATGCGCCTGCCTGTCGGCCAGCTGCGCCCCGGCTGGCTCGCCGACCTCCTCGTGGTCGAGGGGCGGCCGTGGGAGGACTCCACGCCCCTCCTCGCAAACCTCACGGACGACGGCAGTGTCTCCACTCCTCGCATCGCCGCCATCATGCAGGACGGGCATTTCGTGCGCAATCAGCTGTGAAATGGTCAGAGAAGCGAGACGAGAGAACACTTTCAAAAACAGAGTCAGAGAACACAGAGATCAGGACGCGGGACGCGCGGTACGGCTTTAACCCTCCCCCCCCCCCGGGGAATGCCGTCCCGCGGCCCTGATGGACCCATCGGGCGTGCCCCGTGGAGGGCGCCAGGGGCGCAGGGGGGTCGCCTGGTACCGTCCGATGGCGCTCTTTGGGATTGGGTCCGCCATACACAGCTCTGTCATACACCGCTCTGTGAACACGTGTCTGGGCCCTCTTGCCGCACCCACGGCCGTCGGCATGGCGCTCTCTCTTGGTCTCCTGGCCATGGCAGACCCAGCCGGTGAATGGTGGACTGAGTGTTTGTCCGTTCCCATCGGCTTCAGCGCACAGCGGCAAAATGAGCCCTTCCATATGGCCAATGGCCTGTGTGAACTCAGGACGGCTACGATGCCTTTCTGGCTCACACGGAGGCTGCTCTGGCGAGTCGAGCTCTTCGGCGCGCGCGACGCCGGACCTGTGCTGATGTCGCTCGGCCGCGGGACGTCGCGCGACCGATCCGAGTGCTCCGGCATGACCGCGGTAGCTGCCGCGAACGCACCCGGGTCCCCCCGACGTGCTTCCGCGCGCGTCACCCTCCGCTCCTGCCTGCTCAGACGTCCACGAGGCGCTTTTGAGGAGAGCATCTCCAGGCATGTGAGGGAGTGAGTCAGCGTCCTTGACCTGGCCAACCGCGGCCATGGGAGCGAGGTATGGATGCCCACTACGCGTGTGGCAAGTGTGGGCGCCTGCCCTTGCCGCACACGCGCGTCGTTTGCGTCGCCGTCCATAGGTCGCCGTACGGGTCACTCGGGACCATGCTCTGGGGCGTCTGTCCAGCCGTGTGGGACCGGCCGAACGTCGAGCCCGCGGTCCTACGGGACGGTATTCGTTCGGTACTATCCACCCGCGGCTGGGGTAGGCGGGGGACCGGCCGTGCGCGACCTAAAGGGCATCTACAAGTTCACCGGGGGATGCCGTCCACCGCGCTCGTCGCTCGTCGCGACCGTCGCTCGCTC